GAGAGGTCGGATGGGGCAAGACCATTTAAACTTTTAAAAACAAAATCTTAAAATGAACTCTAAAATGAACAGGCAGCCAGTGGAGTGAAGCCAGAGTGGGGGTGATGTGCTCCCTCTTATGAACTCCAGCTAGAAGCCGAGCAGCAGCGCTCTGGACCAACTGGAGACGTCTGAGGGAGGAATGGCTGACTGCAAGGTAAAGAGCGTTGCAGTAATCCAGCCGAGAGGTGATGAAGGCATGGGTTACTGTTTCCAGCTGCTGTTGTGGGAGGATGGGCTTTACCTTAGCCAGCTGTCTGAGGTGATAAAAACTGGGCTGGACCACCGATCCAAACTGGGAATCTAATTTAAAATCACTGTCCATTTTAAAACCCAAGTTACAAATAGTGCTCTTTAAATGTGGTGCCAGAGGACCCAGATCAACAGGGCAAGGTTCACAGGAGCCACTAGGACCGAATACCATCACTTCTGTTTTCTTTAAATTAAAATTTAAAAGTTTAAAGACATCCAGGCTTTGATGTCTTCAAAACACAACAGAAGTGGACTAATTGAGGGAGCATCTTTCTTTTTTACTGGCACATATAGATCTGACTATCGTCAGCATAGCAGTGATAAAATATCCCTTGCTTTCTGAGGATTGATCCCAAAGGAAGCAGGTAAAGGGAGAAAAGCAGGGGACCTAAAATAGAGCCCTGTGGACCCCCAAAAAACAGAGGAGCAGTGGAGGATTCAGAACCAGCTATGTTGACACCTCATCGACCTAGCATGACGACCTCGGCCTCTCAGCTGCACAGACTCAAAGGCGTCAGGTGCCTGCAGGCTCTTTTCTGAGCTCACACATTGTTCGACATTAATTAAACATTAGTTAGTGATAAACATCCTTGACCTTTACCAGAATTGCCTGACATTAGTGTTCTTGCAATGTTGGTTCATTTAATGGGTTTTGTGCAAACACTGAGGACTCTGCGACTCGGCCTTCCAGTAAAGCCATAATCTTTAACGTGTAACTTTCAGTCATCTGGGGTCTCATCTATGAACAATGCATACGAATTCAAAAAGGTTGTGTGTGCCAGTCTCCACACACACCTCGGGATGTCTAAAAATAAACGTTAGGTAAAATGTGCGTAAATATACAAAAAAGAAAAACTTTTGACCTGCCACAAGAATGTACTTACTTTCACTCAAACTTTTTCAGTCCACAGTGTCAAAAGACAAAGTACTAAAACTCATCTAAATACATTTAAACTTGACTCCATTCGGGGTTTTTTTTATTCAAGAACCATTAAAACATGAGTTTTTTTCATGAGTTTGAGCAACATCACTTCAATGTAAACTGTAAACTTTATTTTATTTTTGGACATGTCTAGAGGAGGGACAGTGGGCATGTTGGTAGAGGATGTTAAAGATGCAGCTGCCATGAAAAGACAAAGATGAGATATATGGATGCAGTTAGAGAGGACATGGAGGTAGTTGAAGTGCGGACATAGGACACAGGACAAAGTGAGGTGGAGAAGTCACCATGTTGGCCTCTGAAGAGAGAGCAGCTGAGAGAAAAAAATGGTAAATGGATTGTACTTTATTTATATAGTGCCCTTCTATCTGATCAGGATACTCAAAGTGCTTTACAACACAATCTGTGCCCTAATTTACCCATTCATACAGCTCTCTACTAGATCTATACAAATATTAATCAGTTCTTTATCACATTCATACACTGATGGGACACACATCAGAGGCAATGACCAGGGACACTTCAGCATATGACTGCTGGTGGAATCAAACCCGCAACTATTGCATTGGAGGACGACTGCTCTAACCACTCAGCCACAGCAGTCCCAAGAAAATTAAGATGTTTAATCAGTGTCAAGAAGTATAGAAACATTAAATTGTGCACAGCAAGAAAAAAACAAAAGCTACAATTATAACGGCACGACTCAAAAAAATCATTTAAACATGGAAGAAACATAGCGAGTCCAAATTAAAATGTTTCTGTGTATCCTCATGCGTAACAGTTTACTTTTGTGGAAACGTTCTCAAACTGGTAGTTGTCATGAGTCGTCTGTAGCTGAGTGGTCTGAGCAGTCATCCTCCATTGGGAGAGTTGGAGGTTCATTTCCACCAGCAGTCACATGCTGAAGTGTCCCTGGGCAAGACACTGAACCCCTCATTGCCTCCGATGTGTGTCCCATCGGTGCATGAATGTGATGTAAAGCACTGATTAGTCTTTGTATAGAAATAGTAGAGTGCTGTATGAATGGGTAATTGAGGGAAAAGATTGTGTTGTAAAGTGCTTTGAGTATCTTGATAAGATAGAAAGGCGCTATAGAAGTACAGTCCATTTACCATTTTTACCGTTACTGCCACAGAGGGTCAGTGGCGAGCAGATTTACAGATTTTGTCACAAACTTCGGGAAAAGCATCCTTGCGTCTCAACTTGTCTTTCAATCTGTGATAAAGGTGTCCATCAAACATCTCCCAAAACTCCTTTCAATCCATGTACACATCTGCATACAGCATCTGGAACCCGTGCACGTCTCTGACAAACTTCTCCAGCTGACGCGTTGTCGTTTTGGCTTCAACATTTTTTTTTTTCATTTAGTCTTTATTTATCCAGGTTAGTCTCATTGAGCCACGAGAACTCATTTTCAAGAGAGACCTGTTTTTTTTTTAGGGAGCACATGGTGGGGGTTAAGGGCCTTGCTCATGGGCCCAGAGTGGGGCGAATGAGGGTGGGGGCAAGTGTGGGTATTTCACCTACCCCACCCACAATTTTTGATGTTGTCGGGGCCAGGGCGTGAACCGGCGATCTTCGGATCACAAGCCCACCTCTCTAACCTCTGCGCCACCACTCCCCGAGAAGCTTTTGGCTCTTCGTACGCTCCAACATCCACATACAGCTCCTCCTGCTGACCCTTCAGATTAGAGTTGAATTTGGGCCCCAAAAAATCCGATCCGACCCGGACCCAGCCTGTAGCCATCATTTCTGAACCTGACCTGACGAATTAACAGTCGACCCCCCCCCCCGACATTTTTAATTAAGTTTTGACTACTTATATAGTCATTAAAGGTCGGCGGACGCGCACGGCTGAATAAAAGGGGCAGAAGATCAGAGCTGATGGGGTGTTTGTCATTTCATAGTCGTCAACGCGCATTCAATCCCTGCTTCTGCCTGCATTCTGCATTATTCAGACACGGACCCTGCTCTGACATGTCTGCTTTGGGATCTCACCTGTTTGGGTCATCGGCTGCGCACGTCAGCTGAGTGCAGCGGCTGAATGAAGGTCCATTTGGGCGATGGATCACTTCTTGGCAGTATAGTCCCATCTGAAGCTTAACTGAATTTTATTTCACCTGTTTCAAGACCGATTAGCTCAAAATGAAATGGCTGCATGCGGCTCGTGATTGTATGGCAAGCCATGTTGCTATATAATTGGATCGCGACTGATCCGTTGATGCAATGCAAAGCCCGACATCGACCCAACCCGCCCATCCTGCACATTATTATGGCCCGGCCCGAATTTGGGTCAGGCAGGGCTGGGCTTTGGGCCCGGGTTATAAATGACAGCTCTACTTCGGATGCACCATTCCTCTGCCCGGCGGCAGCAGGGACGAACACAGCCACAGAGGGTAAACATTGATTTCCTGGTGAAAGTGAGTGATGGCAGCCTGCAGATGCTTCACGGGTATCAGCATGTCCTGCACCACATGGTGCTGTTCGTACGGACGCCTGATGGTCTCTCCCTGGGTGATGAAAAGAAGGAAGAAAGTTGGAATTTCTTAAACTCTACTAACTTTCTAAAGCAACTACTGTATAAGGTGCTTTAAGTTTTGCCCAACTTTATGCTTTCTACCTTATACGTCTATTTACTAGGAGTTAAGTAAAATTTTGAGCTGTCTAGAAACACAAATGAGGCAGACCGATGCTGCACACCGGCGTTCACCTTTTACTATGGACATTGTTCGGTTGAGAAAACAGCAACAAACTAAACAAACGGTGTCATGCAAAAGTGCAGCACGACGGCTCAGAGGTTAACACTGTTGCCTCACAGCAAGAAGGTCCTGGGTTCAATCCCCGGTTGGACCTGGGATCTTTCTTTGTGGAGTTTGCATGTTCTTCTCGTGCTTGTGTGGGTTTTCTTTGGGTATTCCGGTTTCCTCCCACAGACCAAAAACATGCATGTTAGGCTGCTTCAGGCCCAGGCCTCCCTTACAAAAGAGATCTGTGATCTCAATGGGATTTGCCTGGTTAAATAAAGGTTAATAAAATATCAGCTAACGCGGTGTTCTTGTAGACCCAGTGTGCCATTTTTGAGAAGGAGTTGTTTTTAAGCCTGAGGGGGAGAATAAAAAAAAAGGTGGGCTCGTTTGAGTAAACATTAGCTCATTCTGTTCACATACTCTGAGCATGAAATGCATTGCATGACGTTGCACAAAAACATTATTTTGTTTTGTTTTTTGCATCCTTCAATGGATGCTAGGCTTCTAATTGATGCTGATGTTATTTTAAGACAACAAAAATCCACTTTGGCCTTGTTTAGACTCACCTTTGGCTCATCACTCCAGTCAGAATTATTATTTTTCCTCCAAACTGTCATTCAAAGAGCTATCTACAACAGGTAAGATATTAACTGTTCACACCCTTCTGCAGGAACACCAACTCAGAAAATCTGAACTATTTCTTTAAATTAAAAATAAAGTTTGACAATAAAAAATAAGACGTTATAATCATGTATTTCTCTCCTGAACGTTTGGTGTCATTACATTTGTGTTTGTCTTTGGCCTCTCAACCGTCCACAGAGGAAACCCATCCCTCAGCAAAGTGTACCGTGTGGGGGGTGGGTGGGTCTTCTGCCTTGCCATTGGTCACAACGAACCCTGGACCAGTTTAAAACCAGTTGTGGCTTTCTTCCCCCTTTTTCCACAGCTCAACCCCCAAATACAGACAGACAGGGAGGGACGGACTCGCTGAGAGCTGCTGAGAGATAAGCAGAGTTGGTCTGAGGATGCCTGCGTACGCCACCAACATGAGGCTGAAGTTCCCCATCCTGGCCTTGATTCTGGAGGTCCTCACCATCATCCTGTACGCGGTGTTTGTGGTCTACGATGATGGGAAAGATCACCATGATCCCCACAGTCACAATAAAACTGAAGACAAGCCTTTGGAGCTCTATCCCAGTAAGTCTGCACTCTGCGGGGGGCCGTTCAGATAAATACCTCAGTGTTTGCCTGCTACTTCTGGCAAGTTATGCTACATCATATTTATATAATGCATATCAAATATATATTAGATAAAACTGTATTTTAGACTTGTGTGAGCTGAAAAAGGCTGCATAATTTCACAAGAAAAACAAGTCACAGATGCTTTTTCATTGTTTGGCAAACAAAAAATTGCAGCATTTGACAGTTTTGCATGTTTTTAAGAACAGATTTTTGCAGATCTCTAAAAGAACATGGAGCAGAAAAGTGAAAAGGATTCTGCAGGGGAAATGTCTTCTCACCTGATTTACATTACTGTGACCAACAGGGTCATTAGGAGCAGCCAGATGGAAGCTGCAAGAGAAAAATGCAGCTTTTGTTGCATCTAAGCATCTAATTTTAAAGGTTCTTTGGTGTGACTTTTAGGAAGCGCTAGGCAGTTTCTACAGTTGAACTCCTCTCTGCATTTGAAATACTTATCTGCATTGAGATAGTAGCAGCTACAAACTGCTGCTTTACTGTCCAAATGTCTGCCAGTGTTTGGGTGGGGCAGGCGTGACTCCCCAAGATTAGTTCAACCTCAAAAATGGGACGTTTTTCACTTCAGATAGGACAATTCAGTTGAATGAAACTGTCCATTTGAACCAAAACTGATGGATGAAGAATTTTCTATGTTTTTAAACATTTGCTTTGCTTTAAAACTCATTTGTCCTATGTAGACTTTTTGACTCACGTTGTCTTTCTTGAAATATTTGAATGTGATTTTGTCTTTTTCTACAAATATCTGCAAACAAAGCTGAGTAAAAAGCTAAATGAAAATAGGAGCTGCATGAGACATGAAAACATCCACAACTTGATACATACATCCATCTGCAATTATGGTTTTAAAGGAAGACAAATAGGCAGATTGTCATGAAAAAGTTCAAATTATAACGTTTGAAAAAAAAGGCAATTTCAGCTACTTCTTAAAAATCCAGTGTAATAATCTAAACTAAGAAAAAATCTCTACATTTTTATGTATGTTAAGAAGTGTAAAGAGAACCAAGATCAAAACTAATTGGTTGCCAGTGGCTGGTTAGGGTCACCACGGTAACCACACACCTGTGACTGACACTCCCTGACAGCCAATTTAAGGGCAGACAGAAACAGACTGAAAAATAAGTCTCTAACCATCTTAGAAATTCTTGAATTTTGAATTGTAGAAGACACTGATGGTCAGGTGAAACTTTGTGTTTCTTCACTGTTTCATGTAGGAGATATAAGTTACAAAGACCTTTTGCTTCTAGTTTTAAGGAAAATACTCTGCAGCCTGTGGGGGGATTGGAAGAAAACAAACCTTTTAGCATATGGAGACATACTGGGTGAAAGAAGACAAAAAGTTTTATGGTTTGATGCACGATTTATAGTAGGGTAGTTGTGGGAGTAGGAGGAGTTTCTTTGCTAAGGTTTAGAAATTTTTAGCCACCTCAAAAGTTGAACTGTATGACATCATCAACTGTCAGCTGATCATTCTGCGAATAAAATCCTAAAACTTTACAGGAATAAAAAAGTTTGAAGCGTGCGTCAATGTTACATGCAGACATCTAAATGATCATCACGAAAAAAGAACATTTTAAAATGAAACCACAGTTCGCCTTCTTGAGGTAACTCTCGGCTACTACCACACTAAATTTTAGCTCCGTGTCTATAAAACTGACTTAGGTGTAGCCATTAGCTAATCAGTTGTAATCCTTTTTTCAGAGTTTCCTTGAAAACCATTTCAGTGGTTCATGAAATATTTTGCTAACAGACACAGACAAAAAGACATTTGCAGGTGCATGATCTCCCATCTGACAGGCAATATCTTTAAATCACCCAAGTACATTCCAGTGTACATTCCAGTGTGTTACATTCCAATGTATATTCCAGTGCAATTTAGCAACACATGTTTCTAATTTCATCGTATTGAGCGTCTGATGTGCAACATGAACACATCAAAGGCAGAGTCGTGCATTGCTCCAAATAATTAATCCATAATTTTTACTCCGCTTACATCACTCCTCTGCAGAACCTCCTCAGGGGAGAACCTTCCCTTCCTGTCTTGACTCTCCTGCACAGTGTTACCTAACAGCTGCTTTTTCCAGCTTTCATCTCAGACTACCGTTCTGTACGACCCCTCGCTGCAAGTAGTTGGAGTCACCCAGCTGGGACTCAGACAGGGCTTCAAAGAATAACTCAAGAGAGAAGCGAGTTTTCTCAGCTTCATTTGGCTTTAAGCCCAATCTGATATCCGAACATTAATGGGCACATGTCGTGCTCAGCGCTGATAACGTTGATCAAAAGAGAGGATGAGGAGATATGGAGAACGTTTTGGTCTAATCAAGATCAATTAAATCAGTGACCTCCATTAAAAACTCGTAAATAACAGAGGGTTATTTTTTCCCAGACAAAAGCAGATCTGATATGCATATTTATTGTAAATGCTGTTCATGAAATAAGTGTGGATACAGTTTATCTACCACATTAAACTAGTTTGTGCAGTTTGAACATATGCTAATTCGTATGCATTTTGGGAAAATGTGTTCTGAATTACCGTATTTTCCAGCATATAAGTCGCAGTTTTTTTGCCTAGATTTGTCAGTCCTGCAAGATATACATCGAAGCGACTTATATACGTTTGTTTTTCTCTCCCATATTTATAATGCAATTTTTGACTGACGCTTTAAATTCTGAAGAACTTTCGAAGTCCTTCCGTGCGCACTCGCTTCACTCAGCTGGTGCAGGCGGAAGAACGCTAGAGAGCTAGCAACACTGGCCGTGATGGATGGATGTATGGATGGATGGATGGATGGCACTGCGCCACCCAGGCAAAATGAAGCTATTTTGACCATTAAATAAATGCATAATAAACGCAACGGGTCAGCAGCGATGCATAATAAATGCGACTTATACGCTGAAGCAACTTATACGCTGGAAAATATGGTAAACATAAGTGAGCTTAATGTTGTAAACATCTGCAGGCCTTCACAACTAAAGACGCAAATGGGACATAAAAGAAAAAAAAACATTATTAACATGTCTAAATAAAATAAAAGTAGGTTAGCCATGTTAAGAAAGATAATCTGGCCATTTTTGAAGTGATGTTCTTTCAAAAGTGTGTCAGTGGAGGAGTCAGGAGCTTTCTCACTTCAAACAGCAGTGAGTGAGAGATTCAGGTTATAAGGCTGATCGGGTTATAAGCTCCTCGGATGAGGAGCGAAACGTCTTCTGTTACAAATAAAGTCCACTTGTTTTTGGATTGAACGCGTTTTGAATTCATCATGTCCTGGATGACTGAGAATCTTCACCAGCAACAGTTAAAGGTCCTTCTAGGGACAGGTGTTGCGAATGAGCTTTAACTATAATACACATGCTCAGCACATGAACAGCGACACGGTTGTTCTGTTGTAAGAACAGCAGCAAACTACAAACGGTGCTATGCAAAAGTGCAGCGGGTTTTTTTTTTAGCTAATGTATAGTTTGTTTGTTTGTTTTTTTTTAAAGTGGAGAAAGAGTTTATGAGAAACAGTTGTTTTATAAGTCTGAATAACAAATGGACTCTCAGTCACAAATGACCAGACTATCCCTTTAAGCTAAGCAGGTTCGGATGTCACAAGAGTGTCTCACCTACCTTTCAAAAGGAATTAAACCGACTTGTTTCTCAAATTATAAAATATGTCTGGATTCAGGAGTGCCACCAAAGGGGGGATCAGGGGGGCAGGGGCCCCTCATATAAATTTACTGCTACACCCTCACAACCCACTGGACAAACAGTTTTATCCTATAAGTCATGTACTTTTGCTATGTGTGCTTTAATTCTCCATAGATGTTTGGGATTAGCAGAATAAGTCAGGTCCTTATTAACTAAAAAAGTGAATTTATTTAGAATATAATATAAAAAAAATATCTAAGGTGAACAAAATAAATATAGTATTAAAAACCTGCCTTCTTATCAAGGTCTCAGGAGATTATTTGACATAATTTTTTATTTTATTTCAATAATTATTAATAGGGAAGACAAGCTTCAACAGAGTGACTGTGCATCTAGTAATATAATCTGTAATATAAAAAAAAATAGACGCACGTCAAAAGGTGAGTCCCTAACTCCTTTAAGTTGTTTTTTTGTTTTTTTTCAAACAGCCACTATAAAGTACTCTGATTGTTTTGGCTTTTGTTTTTGACCCCACCCCAAGATTTTTAGTTTATAAAAAAAAACTAAAAACATTTTGGGCGTTGCCCCAGCAATAAACAGTCAAAACATGGATTACACCAACCGTTCATCAAGAACTGAGGAAATGAGTCCTATTGTGTCCCGGCCCACGTGTATCCACCTTGATGGATTCCCCACATGAGAAGCTCATCACATCGAGCTTAAATGCTCAGAGGAAACAGGAGCCTGATTTCCTGATTTAAAGCACCTGGACTTAACCCTCCAAAAGTGTTCACTTATTAGTCTGCTCTTACAGCCACAACAATTTTATTTACTAAATTAACAACTGTTTGGAGGATGCATACCACCCACCTCCTTGCATGATAAAGTTTGAAACAACAATCCTGCGTGATCTGTACCCGTTGACCCAACCTTGTTAGATTTAACTGACTGAGTTGTAGCCAGTTTGCTAAGGTTGGTTAGCTGCAGCAGCCATCTTCACTTGTACGGCGTAACCAATGATTGTTTTCTGAGTTTCTTTGAAATCCACCCATTGGTTCATGGGATGTTTTGCTAACAGACAGACAGCCCAGTCGCCCACCTTTCATGGCTATGGGTGATAATAAACCTGAAATATGATCCATATCAGCTCTCAGGTGGTCTTTTTCAACGCAACAACTAACAAGAGTCTCCAAATTAGTCTTTTTCTTTGTGACTTTATTATGAGTTTAAACTTATTTAGATCACATGAACTTAATTTAACAAAGAGGCAACAGACCAAGTCAGTTTTTCCCCCCCACACAGAATGTCACGGTGGGATTAAATTGCTTTTGCAGTTGGCAAGTCAAAACAGACAAGGCAACCCTTGTTGAGGAAAATGACTCTTGTCAAGTCCAAAAGTCATTTGAACTAAAAATAAAAGAAAGAACTCCTCCTGTGCCAAATACCTCACGTCAAACAGAGTTTTATTAAATCTTCATCTGATTGAATTTCAAGTCCTCGTGTATCTGCAGAAGTGACCTCTCCTCTCATGTCTCCAGTGTTTCAGGATGTCCACGTGATGATCTTCATTGGTTTCGGCTTCCTCATGACATTCCTCAAGAAGTACGGGTTCAGCAGCGTGGGCGTCAACCTGCTGCTGGCTGCCTTCGGCTTACAGTGGGGGCTCCTCATGCAGGGCATCTGGCACCTGGATGGTGGCAAGATCAAAGTCAGCATCTTCAAGTGCGTCTCTGAAAGGATTGATGTTTTTTTTAGCATTTCTTAATGCAGTTTATCAGAAATGTGCAAAAGCCTTAAATGTTTTTTTAACAGGTTTTAGCTGTCAAAATACAGTGTGAAAGTTAAGCATTGAATGATTGCTGAAATTAGATGATGCAACTGTCTAAAAGTGAGTTGTTACGCTTAAAACGAGCAGACCAGTAGCTAAAACCAACAGAACACAAGCTAAAAGCTGCAGAGTGGTAGCTAAAATTATGGATAACAATAGCTAAAGAAAAGGAGCAGAACAGATGTGAAAAATAAGCTAAACAGTACCTGAAAGCAGCAAAACATTTGCTAAAGCTAAAATTAACAAAACAGCAGCTAAAATTAGCATAACAGATGGTTGTTATCAAATTAGATACAGACAATAATAAAAGAGTAGCTAAAAGTGGTTAAAAAATGTTAGATAGAATGAGCAAAGTAGTAGCTAAAATTAGCAAAACATGCTAATATTGTACAAAACCTTAACTAGATGCTAAAGCAAACATTTGCTAAATATTAACTGAAATTTGTTAAACTGAAGTTAAAAACAGCAGAATGGTGGTTATGAGCTACAAGTAGCAGCAATACAATAGCTAAAAGCTGCAGAGTGGTAGCTAAAATTATGGATAACAATAGCTAAATAAGAGTAGCAGAACAGATGCAAACAAATAAGCTAAACAGTGGCCGAAAGCAGCAAAACATTTGCTAAAGCTAAAACTAACAAAACAGTAGCTAAAATTAGCATAATAGATGGTTGAGTTATCAAACTAGATGCAGAAAATTGTAAAAGAGTAGCTAAAAGTGGTTAAAAATGTTATGGATAACAATAGCTAAAGAAAAGGAGCAGAACAGATGTGAAAAATAAGTAGTATCTAACAAATCTAACTATCTAACAAAGTAGTACTTAAATTAGCGAAATATGTTACTATTAGCAAAACCTTAACTAGACGCTAAAGCAAACATTTGCTAAATATTAACTCAAATTTGCTTAACTTAAGTTAAAAGCAACAGAATGGTGGTTATGGGCTAAAAGTAGTAATACAATAGCTTAAAGTAGCAGAACTGTAGCTTAACAGAAAAAAAGGCTATAAAAAGTAGCTAAAGAAGGCAAAATAAGAAGAACCTGTTGAAGCAGACTTCAAATAAAACATTTTTTATGGAACTAAAGAGATGTTTATGGGGAAAACATTTGTAAATAAAGCTAAAATTTTCAAAAAGTTACAAAAACCAGAAGCCAGAGCCCCGGTCTCCTGAAACAGACAAACATTTTGAATTATAAAAGGTTAAAATAGCAAAACATTGTTAAAATGTACATTAAAATAAACTAATGAATGCTGAAGTATCAACCAGTTCTTCTCCGTCCCTCAGAATGATCAATGCAGACTTCAGCACGGCCACGGTCCTGATCTCCTTTGGTGCCGTTCTGGGTAAAACCAGCCCCGTTCAGCTCCTCATCATGACCATTCTGGAGATCACCATCTTCTCCATCAATGAGCACCTGGTGGCAGAAATTCTGGGAGTAGGTTTATAAAGAACACACACACCTGCCTATTAATCATCATTACACATAGAAGTGTTCTTCTGGAAAACAGGATTGCATGAAACACTGAAAAATGTATTTTTTCCAGGCTAATGATGTTGGAGCATCGATGATCATCCATGCGTTTGGAGCCTACTTCGGCTTGGCTGTGGCTCGAGTTCTTTACCGGCCTAATTTAAGAGACAGGCATGAGAACGACGGATCTGTTTACCACTCTGACATGTTTGCTATGATCGGTGAGAAACCACTACCTGCTAAAACATTTTATATGCTTACTGCCTGCACAGGTTTTATTTTTAATGCAACATTCTCAGTCAACGCATGTTCACTTTCACGTCTGATGATACATTTCATTTGATCAGATGTCAGAATTTCTCAAATGAAATCCTGGAGCGGCTTTGGAAACTGGAGGGTCGTCATCATGTCACTCTCATTCATAAAAGGATTGTTTGCAGTCAACAGCTGTTTATTTGTCTGTCACTGTTTGTCCCATTAAATCAGTCGCCCACAGTACCTCAGTAATGGAGCTGGTGGCTACACTGTTTGGGTCCAATAAATGCACAGAAACCCATGAAGAAAGGTGCATGTTGCTGATTATAATTAACCTGGTTATCAAACACGGTGATTAGCAAATCATACTGTCCATCCATCCGTCCATCTTTTACCCTAGTTCTGGGGTTGGGCCACAGGGGCAGCATTAAGCAGGCAGGCTCAGATCTTTCCACAGCCACCTCTTCCAGCTCTTCTAGGAGGACTCTAAGGCGTTCCCAAGGCCAGCTGATGGATGTACCCCCTGATCGAATAAGCCTGGAAAACCTCCCTGGGGAGGCGTTCAGAGAGCATCCTTATCAGATGCCTGAACCTCCTCAACTGGCTCCTCTCGATATGGAGGAGCAGCAGCTCTACTCCAAGTATCTCCGGGACAGCTGAACTTCTCACCCTATCTGCCTAGCTGCCCTGTGGAGAAAACACATGTCAACCACCGGTGTCTGCGATCTCATTCTTTCAGTCACTACCCAGAGTTTGTAGCCATAGGTGAGGGTAGGAACTGACTGATCGGTTAACAGAGAGCTTTGACTTGCATTTAACTCCTTCTTCACCATAACGGACCGGCACAAAGTATGCAATACGGTAGAAACTGCATCAGTCGGTCTGTTGATCTCACGCTCCATTCTTCCCGCACTCATGAAGAAAACCCTGAGATACTTGAACTTGAGTATATCAGTCGCTCCCGGCCCAGAGAGTGCAATCCACGATTTTTGGACTGAGGACCATGGCCTCAGATTGTTTCACACTCGGTTATAAACCACAGTAGTGAGAGCAGGAGATCACGGCACGATGAAAGTAACGTAAAATAATCCTCATCGCGAGCATGTTATAAAATAAAGGACTGGCATTCTCTGAAGAAGTTCTTATGAGCCACTGCTTATTGTGTTTGCAATTTGTTAACGTTAAGAGTACATGTTAGGGACGACTCACAGCTGCTGCCTCCTCAAATTCTATCTCAACATCTGTAGAAAGGACTAAGTTAAAACCATTTATGTGTTTGAGAACAATAGTTAGCTGTGGTGGCCATTTTAAACAGGGCTGACTCAAAAAGTTATTCAGTTTTTCATGTGCATTTCTGAGAGTTAAGTAAAAAGTGGGTGTGCACTGTGTGCTAATTCTCTTCTCCTGCAGGAACTGTCTTCCTGTGGATGTTCTGGCCCAGTTTTAACTCGGCCATCGCCGACCCGGGCCTCCCTCAGCTCACCGCAGTGATCAACACCTACCTCTCCCTGGCCGCCTGCGTGCTCTCGGCCTACGCCATCTCCAGCCTGGTGGAGCACAAAGGAAAACTGGACATGGTCGGCCTCCTTCCCCTCCAACATCCACAATCTAAACTCGTTTTTAACTAAATTGTTCAGGCAACAACTTGCTTATATGCGTTCATCTTTATTTAGGTGCACATTCAGAATGCCACCTTGGCTGGTGGAGTGGCAGTGGGAACTTGCGCTGACATGAACATCGATCCATTTGGGGCCATGCTGATTGGATTTGTTGCTGGCATCGTCTCCACTCTGGGCTTCAAGTACCTCTCTGTGAGTCAACAAAGTCATTACAGCCATCTTTTGTGTTTGTTACAGTCACTTAGGTGTGTCAGCCATCTTGAATGTGATCAATTTCAAAATGTAACCCGTTGTAGAAGTCCAACCATTCATTTAAATGTGTCCAGTGGGTCAGGAGATATTTTGCTAACACAGGAACACGTAATTTTTTATCCTAAAAAAAAAATAATAAAGATTTGAAAATTTCAGCTAAAATTGATGTTTTCTCACTTTTGTCCCGTGTAAACTGTTAACTAGAGAAAATATTCAGCTAATAGCTGTACAGTAGTCCCTCGTTTATCGCGGGGGATCCGTACCCTGAAGCCCCGCGATAAGTGAAAAACTGTAAAGTGAATAGTAGTACAAGTAGTAAGTAGCTGTTTATTTTAATATATATATATATATATATATATATATATATATATATATATAAATATATATATATATATTCACCGCCTCTCTTTCTCTATTCAAGACTGCTCTGAAAACACATCTCTTTAGACTCGCTTATCCTTAACTTTGCTGTATGTATTTTATATTCTGTATGTAGTTTGTATTCTTTATGTATTTTATATTCTGTATGTAGTTCATATTCTTTATGTATTTTATATTCTGTATGTAGTTTATATTCTTTATGTATTTTATATTCTGTATGTATTTTATATTCTTTATGTAATTTATTTCTGTTGATCTTTGTTCTCACTGTAAAGTGTCCTTGGGTGTCCTGAAAGGCGCTTTTTAAATAAAATGATTATATATATATATATATATATATATATATATATATATATATATATATGGAGAGAGAGAGAGAGAGAGAGAGAGAGAGAGTTTGAAACCCTTCCCACACTCTTACAATATTCTAAACAATGTTTCTAAACTCTAAATGCTCTAAATGAGCACAGCATGTCATGATATCAGCTCTCTGCCTCCTGCTGCACTCTCGGCCCCGCCCACTTCTCTGCTCTGCAGCTGATCTCTGTGCAAAGCAGAGATCAGCTGATCAGCCGCAGGAGGGAGCTTCTCCCACAGCTGTGGGCTGCACACAAGTGATAAATCGTTTACAATAATTTATTTTCAATACAAATTCCATGCTGATCGTGCAGCTCATCCATTAATCAGCCATTGCGTGTCATGTCCAATCTTACTTTGAAAAACTTTAATCAGGGGTGGAGGGCCTCTACGGCTCTACCACTACAACTATGCCACAACTTTCTTAACTGATTTATTACTTTAACTCAGCATGCTTGTTTGTTTTTAAACTGAATTTCCAAGTTTGCTGGTCCAAAAACAAGGAAAAAAAAAGAAATCTGGAATGGTCTCAGCTGGTTCTGGAGAACTCTGATTAGCCTTCAATCGTTAAGTTACAGAGAAACGTATTGGGAGCAAATCAATTTAAACTAAATAGATTTTTTATTTTAAAAAGAAAATAAATGCACACCAGCTTTTAAATAAGAAGCTTGTTTAATTTTTTGTTTTTGCCTCATTTGTAGCCCGTCTTGGCCTCCAAACTGGGCATCCAGGATACCTGCGGAGTCCACAACCTGCACGGCATGCCCGGCATCCTCGGCGGCCTGGCTGGTATCATAGCTGTGGCTTTGGGGAAAAAAGACGGGTAAACCTTCCGCAAAATATAAATATATATATAAATAACACCTTTTCACATAAAACACCGTGTCTTTGCTTGGGAGTAATTCTACTTGTTTAAATCTCAGCTCTGCCTCCATGCAAGCCGCTGCCTTGGCTTCATCCATCGGGTTCGCTTTGATCGGAGGAGCCATTACAGGTGGGTGAAGGAACCGGAAACCCAAACACTTCAATTTAATCACTTAAATGAAAAGCTTTATGTTACACACAAAGACTCAACAGGAGAGTAATCAAACGGTTTATCTTCCTCTTCAAGGTTTAATAATGAAGCTGCCGTTCTGGGGTCAACCTCCGGACCAGAACTGCTTCGATGACTCACTTTACTGGGAGGTGAGAAATTCTTCACAAACGTTCCCGCCATTCTCAGAATGAGAGACGAACTCATCCGGTGTTCGGCTAATAACTAAATAAGACTCAGATCATCAGCGCAACCATTTGTTTAACACTAGGGCTTTCCCCGTTCTTAATTTTTCCAAACATTTTTGTTTTTCGATCTAACTGCTTCTTCGGTTCAGCTCATGAAGGAGACATGTTGTGACTTATGTTTTTGGGAACTTTTATACTTAAAAAAAATTATTATCTAATATTTTCCACATAGAAATACACTGAAAACTCTTTAACTGTTTTAAAATTATAGTTCTTTTATAATCTCCTGAGACCCAAGCTTTTGTTTGGTGGTTTTCTCTTTCTCCAAGGTACATGGGATTAGTAAGACCTAGTAAGTTAAATATCTAGGCTCTGTCATTGTACAGGAAATAGTTTTAGAAAAAATGATGTCTGCGTATGAGGATAGTAGGTTTACTTTTGCATTTTATATTTTTCTTTGCAAACTGGGGTCAGGAGGTCCCAATTACCTGTACTCTAAAAGCAAAAGTTCAGCTTTCTATGATAAGCAGTTTTCTAAAACAATGGTTCCCAATGCTGGTCCTTGAGGAACACCATCCTCCATGTTTTAGTTGTTTCTCTGCTTTGACACACAATCTGTATGAATGAGTGATGAACAGGCTTCTGCAGAACTTGAGGAAGTAATTGCATCACTGAATCAGGTGTGTTGGAGCAGAAAAAGAAAACATGCAGGATAGTGTTCCTCGAGGACCACGGTTGGGAACCATAACTCTAATAGATCAACGTCCTCATAAGAGGACCCACGGTCTCAGGATGTTAAGTCTGTTTCAGCAAACTTGCGCTCGTTTAGCTTTTCTTTACGCTTTAGATTTCAGCTAACCTTTTGCTACTTTTATATTTAGCCAGACTTTTATTACTTTTAAGATTTAGGTATTATTTTGTTAATTTTAGCTTATAGTAGGCATTTGTTACTTGCATCTATATAACCTTTTGCTACATTTAGCTAGCTTTTTGCTACTTTAGCTTTTAGATTGTTTCAATATTTTAGCTTTTGTATGCTTTTTGTTACTTTTAGCTGTCTGTTATAGCTTTTTGTTAGCCTTTGTACTTTTACCCTAACTTTTGCCTACCTTTATTTTTTTTAGCCAGCATTTTGCTATTCTTAGCTTTTAGCTAGTGTTCTGTTACTGTTCTGAGTTAACGTTTCTTCAGCTAATTTCAGCAGTCAGCTGAAATTTGCCAGGTGTGCAATGCAGCTTGTATGCTTTTACAAATGTTAGCTTTAGATGATAATTTTGATCATTTTAGCTTCTATCTAACATTTTAATACTTTTAGCTAACATTTTTCTACTTTAGACATTTAGTTAGCCTTTTGCTACTTTCAAGGTTTTACCTTTTGCTACTTTGGGCTGCAATTTTGTGACTTTTAGCTTTTTACTGACCTTTTGATACGTTTTTGTTTTTAACTGTCTTTTTGTTATTTTTAGCTTTTTGCTCTCTTTTAAAACAGATTCAAACAGATTCAAGAACAGTTTTTTCCTGAAAGCCATCACCCCACTGAACTCACATATGCACTGATTTAATCATCTAACCTCCCAAACCCCTGGACTTGTATTGTGCAACACACTGACATTTCATACTCTCAATCCCCTTAACTACCTCACTAATGTCCATAATGTGCAAGAGAATTGTGAAATACTTGTATTTTTTACTTTCATAGTGTTATTATATCTATATTGCGTAACATTTTTTATATTTTTAGTGTGCGTTTTTCTTAAGCATGTTTTTGCACTGAAAAAAGAAGTGGCTCTTAATTTTATTGTATTTGCGTATAATGACAATAAAGGCATTCTGATTCTAATTCTTTTCTTTAGCTTTTAGTTAAGTTTTGTTTTATTGTATGTTAGCATTTTGTTTATATCAGCATTTAGTTAGTTTTGTTTCTTTAACCTTTTAGTCATTTAGCACTCAGTGTTTACGCCGCATTTTTGTCAAAAATGTGAATTTTTCTCTAGTGCTGTTTTTATCATTTTAATCAAAAGTGTTTGTTGTAATTGTTTTTATATTTTACTCTGCTGATGTTTGTTTGCATCAATCATATTTGCATCGTTTAGGCCTGTAATGAAACCATGACGTGTCTTCTAGGTTCCTGAGGAAGAGGAGGAGAACGAAGGCAGTTTGGCTGCTGCAGAACAATCCAAGAACAAAGCAGAAGTTTAAATATCTGCTCCTCATCAGAAGAAGATGCCAGGAGTTTTCTTTAACTTCAGCTCTAGCTTTAAGCTACAGTAATGTGATCTGAAATACAGAATTTACAACCATTAAGCTAATCTTTTCACATCTCTTAAATATAAAGAGGCAGTTAATTTTATTTCATAGCTCAGGTTAAGTTTAAAATTAGCAAGGGAAGATGTACAGTAAACACACACACAAAAAAGCAAATTTTATCCGGATAAGAAAAGCATTTAAGTAAATTGATTTATATATAAAGAAAACAACCATAACTAAATAAAATTTTACTGAAAATTTTGATTTGATTTGAACAAAACAGCGTTTCCGAACCACTCTGTGCTGTCACTACAGGAAAACAGTAACTTTCATAAGCTTTTTTTAAGTAAAATTTGATATAGTTTTTAAAATTCATACAATCATGTTTCAAGATGGGCAGCACGGTGGCGCAACTGGTAGAGCTGCTGCCTCTCAGCGAACAGGTCCCTGGTTCAAACCCCGGTCCAGGGGCCTTCTGGGTGGAGTTTGCATGTTCTCTCCGTGCATGCGTGGGTTTTCTCCGGGTACTCCGGTTTCCTCCCACAGACCAAAAACATGCATGTTAGGCTGATTGGTAACTCTAAATTGTCCCTAGGTGTGAGTGAGAGAGTGAATGGTTGTTTGTCTCGTTTGTCTCTATGTGGCCCTGTGATGGACTTGCGACCTGTCCAGGGTGTACCCCGCCCCTCGCACAGTGATTGCTGGACATGGGCACCAGCGACCCCCGTGACCCAAAATGGAATAAGCAGGTAAATATAATGGATGGATGGATGTTTCAAGATGCCATTATCTATATAGCATGTTTTTTTTTACTTTTCCCCACATTTGGCACAATCAAGTCTGCTGAAACTGAAGACAAAAACAGGAAGTGAGCACGGCTTCCATCTGCAGCTTCACATTACCTCACTGGAGCCCGGGCCTCCTCAAGCGAGGGGTCAGAGTCCAATCACACGGGCAGGGATGGTCGCATAATCATCTTTAACTAATACGTATCTATAGCCCTTATCCTTATTTCTATCTGCGAGAACACTTCTACAGTTTAACATGAGATGACTCTTTTATTTGCTTTGTGGTCTTTGGAGCAGATGTGTTTTTTCGTGTACATACAGTTCAGTTCTCACGTGGATCGACACGGTCAGTTTTATCAAAGCTAACATTAACATCTGGTACTGGAAAAACTGCAGTTTTTCTTCAACCATGTTCTTTTTCTTTACTGATGATGACTGTTCGGCTCAGTTTTGAACCTCGAACTCATCGCTTTAATCCTTTCAGCGCTGAAATATTTCTTTTGCATCTGCTTTAACATAAATAGGAACGCTTGATGAAACTGACTACAAATAGATTATCACATAGATGTTTTTTAGGTTTGTTAAGTGATATATGATGCCAAAAAACACTGATTTGAATCAGATTTTTTTTTATGTTTTTTTATACAGTGGATACTGAGTCCTTTTTGTTTGATATACTAATACTGTCATAATAAAGATGTTTTTGTACAATAATGCTGTTTTGCATGGAAGTTTTTTTTTTTTAACAGATACAACAATCATTATTCACCCTAATGTTTTGTAGAATAGTGCCATAATTTAAATACTTGTTTAGTTTAATTAGTGATAACAATAAATTATACATATGAGTTAAATCAGTGATCATTCCACTGTTGATCGGTTGAAGGAGCTTGTTTAAATCTGTGGGATAGGTTTAAATATGTGTTATCTAGCACCATCAGGTGGCCAACATTAAATAATCATCAAACACTAGTCTTCCTCAGTCATCCTGGCTCTATCACGCGCTGATAGGATTTATTCAGTTGTGTTGTTCAATAAAATAAAAATAAACAAATGTCTGAACTTCTCCCTGATTTTCCAGATTGTCTGATTGTTGTCTGCTGCAGGTAAGACAGTGACCACCGATAACCATTTCCGCGAAGTGGCCACTTCAAAATATTCAAAATACAAAAGTGTGCTTTAAAATTCAACGCAACTGATAAAATGCTTTTAAAATATATCTGGAAAAGGAAGACATCTGGACTTGTACTTAAAAAAACAAAACTGTGCACTGGTTCAAATATTCAAGTGATTCTTCAAGTTAAAAGAATACCTCACATCTGTGGACTGAAGTGACGATTGTAACCGAGCTGGCTATGTATGAACATTTGAAATGAGAGTTTGTGAGGTTTTGTTCCTCTTTTTTTATTTCTTCCTATTTTGATGGGGTCCAAAAACACTTGTCTGTACATAAGAAAGTAAAACAAATAAATAAAACAAGCAAGCAGGGGCTGGGTGACAGTTCGTGGGAAGCGTAGAGCAAACATGAATAAACATTTTTGAAGCTGAAGTCAAAGTACCTTTCAAAATATCCGTTTTTTCAATGTATTTGATTTGTTCAATTGTGCAATAATATCTATAACAACCAATAATCTGTGTCATGACGTCACGTGATATACGTTGCTTGTCTAAAAAAGTTAAATCTGGTCCTCTGGACATTCAAAAAAACAAAACAAAGCACAACAACAAAAAAATGTAGAAACGTTTCGTCTCTCATCCAAGACACTTCCTCAGTCTGAGGAGCTGTGTTCAGCTCAGTCTCTTAAATAGCACCTTCTCAGAGTGGATCAACCAGTTTTGCTGCTGACAACCAAAACCAGCTGATCACATGCTCAAGAAGGACCATCAGCATAACAATGGATCATTAGCACACTGATGGCTGTTTACTATTCACAGAGGGCTGAGTGATACTAGCAATCACAGCATTGTAAGAGGGGGACAGTTGAACCCGGAGGTCTCCACCCCTGTTTAATGATGGACGATTTATTTTCACAAAGATGGCCTCCTTTACTCCTCTCTCAAACCATCGTTCCTCTCTATCCAGGATGTGCACATCTTCATCCCTGAAAGAGTGACCGCTGGCCTGGGGATGAGTGTAGACCGCAGAGTCCTGGCCTGATGATGTTGATCTTCTGTGCTGGTCCATCCTTTTGGCCAGTGGCTGTTTTGTTTCCCCGATGTAAAACTGATCACCCTCCTGACACTGAACAGCATACACAAAATTACTCTGTTTGTGCCGGGGGACTGGATCTTTGGGATGAACCAGTCTTTGCCGTAATGTATTTTGGGATTTAAAAGCCACTGGGACGTTATGTTTAGAAAATAAACGTCTCAGTTTCTCTGATACTCCCTCAACATATGGAATGACCACTGGTCTGGGTCTGGGTTCCTCCTTTTCACCTGATGGCTGACTGGAGTCCTGTTTGTTTCTTCTCTGCTTTCAGGAAGGCCCAGTTAGGATATCCACATTGCTCTAGAGCCTGTCTTGTGTAGGATTTCTCCTTCTGCCTGGCTCCTGAGCTAGTGGGGACGCTGTCTGCTCTGTGATACAGAGTCCTGATGACTCCTAACTTGTGCTCCAAAGGGTGATGGGAGTCAAACTGCAAATACTGGTCTGTGTGGGTGGGTTTGCGGTACACCTCAGTTTGCAAATGTCCTCTATCAGAGACTGAGACCTCAGTCCAAAAAAGCCAATCTGCCATTTTTTACATCTTCTCGTGTGAACTTGATGTATTTATCCACAGAGTTGATGTGGTCAGTAAAATGTTGGACTTCCTGAGATTTAATTTTAACCCAGGTGTCGTCAACATACCTGAACCAATGACTTGGTGGTGTCCCTGAAAACGACGTCAAGGCTCTCTTTTCTACCTCCTCCATGTACAGGTTGGCAACAATAGGAGAAACTGGAGACCCCATAGCACACCCATGTTTCTGCCTATAATATTGCTCCCCATATGTGAAGTATGTATGTATGTATGTATGTTTTATTTATTCATTTCATTTCATCCAAACAACAAATATAATACAATTTAAAGAAAGAAAAAAGATATACAATCACCGAAATAAAATGAAAGGCAGCAGAAGAAGAATGAGTTCTTATAATATCTGCCCCTTGTCCCCAAAATATATTCCAAACAAAATTACTATACAAAAGCAAAATGAATTAATAAAAAAATAAAAAGATAAAAAATAATTTAAATAGTTAAATAGTTTTATAATTTAAGTAGGTTGACTGCAGGCACAGTTTCAAGAGTTAACACAGTTGTTCAACAACTGTGGGGTTTTTTTCTGTGTTTTTTTGAATGTCCAGAGGACCAGATTTAACTTTTTTAGATTTTTCTACCTGGACTATTGAGCATGCATCAGGATGTACGTTGCTTGTGTTTTCAATCCTTTGCCACTGGGCGGCGCTGTGTTGTTTCCGCCGCTCATTGTTTTCAATGTACTTGCAGCGGTGCATTATGGGATACAACAAGTGTAACCGCAGTGCTAATTCGGACATAACAGCGAGTAAATATAGAATTAAACGTTTTCTCTAGTGGTTACGGTGTCAGTAAACTTATGGGCTATTAAATGTTTTAATTCGTCACTATGGTGAGTACAGAAACTCGGAATTTTACTCTTTCACTACGACTTAGCATTAGCTTTAGCCGGATGATGCTACAAGTAACACTGGAAAGACAATTAAAAAGGTCTTTCAATGACGTCTTCTCGCTTCGCAGTTTTACACCTTAGGACATCTATTTTAACATTATTAAATTAAATTTTACTATGGGTACCTGTACTAGTTATTGGCATTCTATGAAGGTTTTATTAGACTTCAATGATAATCGGTTTCATTTTGCTTCCAGGTCGCAGCCACAGAGTAAACAATAAACAAGCATTTTCTGTTTATGATTTTAGTCAACGAAAGCGGAATACAGGGTCTCCAGCTCCACGTCCAGAACAGAAGAAAGGAGGAGATCAAGGAGCAGAGGTAAGATACCTTTTTTTTTCTTTCTGTACTCTTTCAAAACCACATCCATGTTGTATGGTCTGGAGACAGTGTCAAAAAGACAGGAGACAGAACTGGAAGTGGCAGAAATGAAGATGTTGAGGTTCTCCTTAGGAGTGGCAAGGATGGATAAGATTAGGAATTAGATCATGAGAGGTACAGCACATGATGAACAACTGGGAGATAAAGTTAGAGAGGCCAGACTGTGATGGTTTGGACATGTCCAGAGGAGGGACAGTGGGTATACTGGTAGAAGGATGTTAGAAATGCAGGTGCCAAGATAAAAACAAAGAGGATATATATGAATACAGTTACAGAGAACATGGAGGTGGTTGGAGTGAGGACAGAGTGAGGAGGATGGGCTGAAAGAAGATCCCTGTTATTACAGGGATTACAAACAGTGTGTAAATTTTTCATTTTTTTTAATAAACACTGTGTTGATCATTTAAAGCATAAATTATTAAACAGAGCCATGCCCTTCCATCTTTAAGAGTATTAAATAACATGTAGCTCTCTTACATTACTTGAGAAAATTGACACTTCAACATCATTGCAAGCAGTTCCAGGCGATGTCTTGTTCTTTTCTGGGTATTTCGGCATCAAGACTGCCTAATGATATACAGTCCTTCAACCTCTGGTGTATTTTCGGATAGTAATTTACTAAATTCAGTTGCACAGTATAATATTAAAGTATCTTTGTGTGTGAAATGTTTATCAGGGCTTTATCCAAAAGTGAATTATTTTGTTTTTTTTTCAATTTGAAAGTGGCAAACTAAATTTTAAAACAGCCCAGGCAAGAGTCTAGAGTTAAAACTTTACCAATCTGTATTTTGGATGAACTGAAGGAACAAGACGAAGGAAAGAAAGAAAGGGGAAAAAATTCAAACATGCATTAATTTTGGGGTGAACTAAATTATGCTTCATGAAAAGAATGAGCTACCAAAGCTACTAAACGAATCAATTATTTTGATCCAAACTGAGATTTCATGATAAGTTCTTGATAAGTCCTAACAGTTTAATGGTTTATACTGTGTATTTTTATATGTGTATGTAGCCAAAATGGTCTGAAACCTATCACCACTTGGGTTTTATTGTATTTATTTTCATTAAGAAAGTAAGAATAAAGGAATTTAGTTATCGTTTATTATTTCAAGGATTTTCTTCTAAATAGTAGTTTGTTTTTCAATTAACGAAATCCTTTAAGTTATTAGATTTATTGTTCTCTGTAAAATTTTCATTTTGTAACTTGACATTGACAGAAGCTGAAACAATCATAGCTAAAATAAAAAAGACAAAATGTGAACTGGTTCTTGTCCCTGTTTTGACTCCGTGTTTTGTTCTTTTTCAGAACGAGAAAAAAGGAAGAGGAAGCAAAGCCGTGACAGATCTTCCTCCTCATCCTCCAGTTCCTCGTCTTCGTCCTCATCGTCGTCGCCCTCTTCAGGTTCGTCGCGTTCCTCCAGCAGCAGTCGGAGCAGCTCGAGCAGCAGCGGTAAGCTCAGTTTAAAATACGTTTTAGGCTATATTCAGACATTTAAATGTGTTTTCAGGCTTTTCAGCATTTAATTAGTTTTTGTTTTAGAAAGTTATGACGCCTGAAAGACAGAAAATCACATTTAAACAAATACATTTCTCCAGGCTTTTTATTGTTAAGTACTCTGGCCGCTTCTGCGAAACACAACTTGCTGTAAATAGCAGAGGATCTGCGAAGCCACAAACCACAAACTCTGCATTAATGTCTGCACCTTGCGGCGCCTTCTGTTCAGGCAAAGCTAGATAAAAACTACAGTTGTAAAACATTTCTATCAGATAAAGAAGATGGTATTTGTGTTGTTACCATAGCAACTGATACAAATAGGTTTATCTGATCACTTGCAGATAAAAGTGCAGACACTTTTCCCTGAAAATCCGATTTAAGAAACATTGGGAACAATTGATCTGATTTTCCTCTCAGTGTCCCTGCAGTCTGAGAAACTTCTCGTATCAGAACAAACATCAGGAGACAGATTTGTCTTAATTTGAGGTCTTTGTTTGTTGTTTTCAGACTCTCGCAGTAAATCCAGAAAACAGTCAAAGAAAAAGAAAAAGGAGAAGCACAAAAAGGTAAAAGGGCCATATTTTATTTTTGAATTACTGAAATCTTTTTGTCTCTTTAAGTTTGTTTTTTTAACACATTATTTGGTTTCTTTACCAGAAAGGAAAGCGAGAAAAGAGGCATAAGCACAAAAAGGACAAGAAATCTAAAGGAAGAGAGAACTCTGGACCTGTTCAGATCTCTAAGGTAACAAAATATTCACTAATATTTATTTTAATGATCTGATGAAAACTCGGGGTTTTGCTTTTTTTATGTTTCCTGTAAAATGTGATAATAATGCAGATATTTTTCCTATAAACTGAGTAGTTTTTGATTTATAACCAACATTTATGTAATTTAAATTAAACTAGTAATTTTCGAGATTCGTTCAGTTTAAGTTTGAACTTAACGTTTTTTGAACTTTTTCTTTCAGTATTTGAAGGACAAAGAAAAAGGCAAGTACAGCATGATTTCAGGGAAGAAGATAAAGATGAAAGTAAAGAAGTCCAAAAAAGACAAGCAGGTTGAGTTTGAATTTTCTTTTTCACAGACGCAGACATGTCGTTTTATTCTGCGCTTCCTAAGTTCTTCCTTTTTGTTGACAGATGGATAAAAACCGAGCGGAACTGCTTGAATTCCTAAACTCTACCCTGTGATGCCTGTGGACGCCTCTCCTGTCGGACTTGTCAGCAGAACTCAGGAAGCAACAAGTTTTACTTTCTAGAAGAAGAAACGAATCCGTTTTCTAACAGGAAGTAGAAAAAGGAGTGACTTTTATCACCACAGAGGGGCAGCAGCGAGCTGGACTGAGCTGGGAAGACACATCCAGTCCATTAGCAGGTGATTATCTTCAGGTCAGTCTCATAGTCTTTATGTCAGGAGTTTTCTTTGTGATCAGATTAGACATTAAATTTTGTGACTTACCTGCTGTCAACTCTGCTTCTGGGTGAAACGTGTTACGCCTTTAAACAACTTATCCACCAGTTTAGACTCACAATGAAACCACCGTCGTCCAAAATGCAAATCAGCCCCCATGCAGTCTGTCCTTCATGTCTTCAGTGCTGTAAGAGGTTCCTGTTGCTCTGAGTTTCATGTGGAAATGTCGATTCTTTATAAAAGTAATTGGACAACCAACATCTGAGGATGTTTTTTCCTCTAAAAGAAAGAGCACTTCCCAAGATTATTCAACTAACTTTAATGCGAGATGTTCCATAAAGTTCTCAATACTTGTTAAACGACATTTTTAAAGTATGTGTTTGTGTCACTTTTATTTAAGAGCACAGACGGTTGTGTTTTCTCTCTAACCTAAAGCTTTGGGAGCAGTGGAGTCCTGAAATTATAGTTTAGTCCAACTTTTATTTAATCTGTTGGAGTTTGTGCATCAAGTTAACTGAAAACTGATCAGAGATCATTGGTCTGATGCAAACTCCCTGAAAACACGACAGTTTTAGTAAGATTTAAACTCAGAAGGTTACTGTAATTCCCGGACTATAGAGCGCACCCGAATATAAGCCGTGCTTACTAAAAATGTAAAATTTGTACATATATAGCCATGCTTGTGTTAAGCCATGGGTGTCCACGTTGTGACATGAGATATTTACACAGAAAGATTTTTTTTTTTAACTTTGTCCCCCCCCCCCCCCCCCCCCCTTTTTTTTTTTTTATGAATTTTGATATATTTGACATATCAGGTGGTATTTAAAATATATATATATATATCAGCCCAATTCAAGGCATCAGTTTAAAACATCAGTTTATAACCCTATCCTAACAGAAATCAGACAAAAAAAGGCCATGATACTTATGTTTAGTCTGGCTTAATTGTCTTTAAGGAATTAAAATAATTAATGAAAAGTTGCTATATCTGAAAAAAAAAAACTTGTCAGCATTCTTGCTGAGCCTAAACTTGGATTTATTTCTAGTTTTAAAATAGATTTATGACATCTTTCATCCAAAGTGCTGCCACTGGGGGGTGAAATTATAGTTTAAATTGTTTATGATGAGAATTGACTGTTTTTAATAATTTCATAAATACAGTTTTTCTTTATTCCTTGTATTCCTTTAAATATCAGCCATTTTTTGTCTGCCTTAAAATATAAAATTCTGTAAGTTTTGCTTCTATAAACCCAGTTGAGAAGCTTTAAATGGATAACTGTGCTAAGCTTTGGTTTGTGTGACACAAGAAAAGAGGCGGAAATTAAACTGTTGAAAATATTTTACTTTGAAATGTTTCACAAAAAAAACAAAAACATTCAACATTTATTGACCGTTTCTTCACATTTTTTGTTCTTTTGACGTTTTTGAAAATATAAAAGCCTTAATTTTTCCAACAGTGGACAACACTTTCTGCAGAGTTCTTGTGCGTTGCTTGAGACACGGAGCGCGACTCGCGCTTTGACTGACTTTAAAGTGAACTACAGTACCTGTTTTAGAAAAGTCTTCCTCATACATAAAACGTCTACTAGGAAAAAAAAAACAACTTTACAGGCCTTTTACTCATCTATTTATATTTTACTTTTATTTTTTAGGTAGTCTGACCTAACAAATAGTTTCTTCTGCAAGAAAAAAGCTTTAAATCACATAAATAACTCCTAAAGGCTGAAGTTTTCAGCCATTTAGATAAACATTTCTACAGTGTAAGAACAAAGCAAAAGATAATCTCAGGCAACTTGTAAAACTGTTTGAAGTGCTGAAAAACGTGTCACGGTTCAGAAAATGACCCTGTCAGATAAAAAGGGAGGCAGCTGTAATTTCTGAGCGGTACTGAAGTGAAAATCTTTCCTGGCCTGCTTCAAAGTGGACATACTGTCCTGTGTCTGAGTCCTGGAGGTTTATTACTCCCACTGAAGTGTCCAGTTGCCGTATCTGTCCTCGAACGCCTCACGTCAGACCACCTTGCTGCCGCTGCTGCTGGGTCCTTTGTATCTGAAGTCGGGCATGCTCCACACCCTCTGCAGCCTGTCCTCCACCTCCATCCCTTTCTCCACGTCTTCTGACACGGTCTTCAGGTCGCTCATTCCCGTCCCGTTGGCCACGGCGGAGGTGAGGCCCACCGTGCTCCCGAACGGGTTGATCTTGATCCGGGACTTGAAGTTCATGCTCATGGCGCGCTTGTTGTTCCACTGACGGGTCAGCCGCTGTGCCTCCTGCTCCTCCTTCAGGTGGTCCAGAGCCTCCAGGAGGACAGACCGGAAAAGGCCGGACACCTCGTTCACCTCTGGCTCATTGGACTGCAGAGCATCCCTAAACCTGTGCAAAGCAATACGAAAAACAAAAACAGCTTTGGTTTTTGCTTCTTACTATAAAAGCTGGGAAATCATGTAATTACCTGTGTGTTTATGGGTGTACTTCATGAACCGCTGGATACATTTTAATACATTTCCCAGAAAGTAATCACTGGATGCATATCTTCATCTGATTAACTTCAGGAGTCGGCATTAATCAAGATGGCTGCCACAGCCACATGGCCTTAGCAAGCACAAAAATGGTTCAGCTATGTAATTTTTACAACTACTGAGCTAAACTTTGGCGTGGGACTAGTTGAGTCATCCCCACCACATAACCGGAGCGTCAACAAATCACCTAAGATTTTTAAATTTTGGTGATATGCATTCCTTCACTGAAACATTAAAGCTGTATTAAAAACACTGAAAAGGCCCGACATCAGTAGAGCCAGAACAGGTTTAGACTTGATGTGATTTAATGTTAAAATATTTTTTTACTTCAACCTTTAATGCAATCAACAACCATTCACTGTCAGTTTAAACCAGGGGTTCCCAACCCTGGTCCTTGAGGAACACCATCCTGCATGCTTTAGTTGATTCTCTGCTCAGACACACCTGACTGTAATTACTGGGTAATTAACAGGCTTCTGCAGAACATGAGGAAATAATTGTCACTGAATCAGGTGTGTTGGAGCAGGGAAACAACTAAAACATGCAGGATGGTGTTCCTCAAGGACCAGGGTTGGGAACCATTGGTTTAGAGAGACAGGAAGTTGTCGAGTCATTCGTTCGCTTACATTTTGCTTCAAAGGTATTGAGTCACACTTTCTTTTGTTAAATATTCATTCGGGTTCATTTAGGCTTTGGCTCATTTTAAAATGTTTCTATGAATCAAGCGTAAAAATGGTTCTCAGCTCAAGTTATGAGTCAGTGGTGTGTCGCCACAAAACAGACAAACTGGTTTAAAAATGTAAACCACGATATTTATGGATTTTGTTATCAAGGCATAATTCTTTCCAACTTCTTTAGCTGAATACCGGTATATGAAGTTATACAAAAAATAAATTGTGGGTGTCATACTTAGTTACAAAAGGGCCCAAAATGAAAACATTTTTCTAAGCCATGGCCCAGTTTCAGCTGATACACAACATCTTTTCTTTGTTGCAGCAACAAGAGTTTGATTGGTCTCATTTTATGTTCTCTTGCTCTTTCCACATCAGAAATAAAAGATAACTGAACGTTTCAACCTTTTGACCTTTTTTGGCTTCAAAATTAGCAATCTGTCATGAGAAGTTTGTACTACCGGTAAATGTCTGTTGGTTTTTTTTTTTTTAGAAAAGATAAAAATATTTTACATTTAAAGTATTATCTTGGGGGGCCACATAAGATGTTCATACGGACCAGGTTTGGCCCACAGGCCTTTAATTTGACACATGGACAAGACAGCATTAGACAAAAGCAGAAACACGCACACACATCCAGAATTCGCTTCGGAAAGCCTGAAGAACTGTCGACGACCAGTTTAACAGATTACGAGAAAGTCTGGCTCGCCGGAAGCAAAGTGATGTTTTGCACAAGTTTACACACAAACCGAACAACGGTGATCAGTTATCTAAAACTATAATCAAAAATGGTGACTTTCAGCCTCGTTGGTGCAATATTTATCAAATCTTTCCACGTCTTCCCACACAGGTGGGTTATAAAGATTATCCTTAAAGTCGGGATTGAGCCTTTGAATGGCAAACAACCCCATAAAATTGTTAGTGTAATAAAACGACTGGATAACAGTCATTAGTTGTCTGCATGCATTAACACGCTCCCGCCCCACCTGGCTTTGCCTCAACACGCCTTCTGGGACACGTTACCCAACGAGTGTTCCTGCTGAGTGATGTTTGGCCTTTTGTTCACACCAGCTAGAACAAATCTTGCTTAGTCAGACAAGCAAAGACGCCTAATTTCCAAATTGTCGGGATGCATTTGTTATGATAATACCACTTTATTTATAAAGCACTTAAAACAGCAACGGTGGTTATGGATAAATATGTGGACAAGTCAAATGTTAGAGCTGTTGGACATTTCATAAGAATCTGCTACTGTTTGTTTTTAAATCCACTTTTTCCAACTAGCTTCTGTTTTTTTTTTTTTTTTTTGTTAAGCTGAGCTCAGAACCTGAAAAATTCACAATTACCTTTTTTATTCAATACAAAAAAAATACTCCAAATTGTCTTGAAGAATTGCCATTTTGTCGTGATTTTCTTGGTTATGTTTAATGTTTAACGCAATCCCCAAAATTTGACTGACTCAAAAAAATAAACATGATTTTTAAAGGAGCATTAATTGAATTTGTTGAGGCTTCTGTTTTGATACAATAAATAAAAAAAACTTGAACGTGGCTGTAAAATAAGCAAACGTTTGCGGTGATTAATTCAAAGATCTGTTTCCGTTTAATCCATCAGATTAGAGGTAATCTGGCCTCGTTTAGACCTCTCAGGATGTGAAAATGGTTTTAGTTCAGCGTTTTTAATCCAACTAACATTTGCAGTAAAGAGAAAAGTAAAAACTCTGCCCTGGAACGATACAATACTCTGTGGCTGATTGGTGGGGAGCTTTTGTCCTTAATTAAAGAATAAACTAAATTAATTGTAAGATTAGACATTCACAAGCTAAAAATGCTCAAATGTCACATGTGGGAGGAAAAGTTTTGAATATTTCAAGTTTTTTGGAGTTAATATCATCAGAAAATATATTTTTTATCTCTGCTGATGGGAGAGAGCGGTACACTCATGGATGGAGAACTTAAAAACTGTAAAATTGTAAATGGGTTACATTTCTGTTGTATATTTCAACATCTGCAGCACTTCTTGGTCCATAATGACTTTTAGAAGCTCTTCAGTACTTTTCTTTTAACATAAACTCACTAACAAATCAACAACGTTGGGTCAAGCGTCTGCATTAAACACTAAAAGAAAATATGGTTTTTCATTTATTTTGTTGGTTTTGATCGTCTAGTGTGCCCGTATTATCGTCGGTCATGTGGTTTTAAGTGTTCGGGTACTATTAGTATGAGAAAGTCCATAAATTTGAATTTTTACGACTTGACCTCCATAATGTGAATGTTCACTAGTCAAAGAATTACAGTGATAAACTCCTGATTGATACGGAAAGGGCCTGAAATTGCCTAAATATAACTAACTGTTAAATTCATAATAAAAACACAGCATAGGTAGTTCTTTGCACAACTCCATTTTATTTGCTAGACTGAAATAGTCCGCTAACTCACAGTGAGGGCACGTAGGGTTGGGGTTCATCAGACTCGTGAGTCTTGATTCAGTGTGAAGGTTTGGACCATCAACCCGGGTCGATCAGGAACTGAACTCAATGTTTATAAAGCTATAATTGTTCTGCAGAAGGTTTATTATTATTATTATTATTGCATATGACATTTCATGTTGTGCATTCAACATTGTATTTCTGACTAATTAGACCCCCTGAAACATATCCTGCTTAGGGGCCCCCAGATGAGAAGGGTCATCTGACCGAAGGCTGTTTTTGCGAGATGTGTTGGGAGATGAGCTGAAACAAAACAAGACGCCTGTCGGTGTTGATTTCTGAGCCTTACTTGAGTATGACCAGCCCGCAGCAGGACGGGGGCACCTTGGCGCACAGCTCCTCCAGCGCCAGCCTCTCCCCGGTGCTGATGTTGAAGGAGGAGCGCGGCGTGCTGGCCAGCCAGCTGTAGTCCACGCCGGTCTTCAGGCGCCGGTATTCGCTCTCCCTCTCCCGCTGCTGCCGCTCCGTCTCCTTCAGCTGCCAGCTGAACTCCAGCATCAGGGTGTCGGTGACCACATCGGCTGGGTCCTTGCGGGGGCTCCGGTAATACGGCTCGTTCCAGCTGAACCAGGAGGCCATGGTCTTATTTATCCTCCTTTACAGATTTCTGAAAATAAAATGAATGTGAACATAATGAAACATTTGATTAAAATAATATTTCCAAAAGGATTTAGAGATTTGCAGTCAAATACTTGAACTCACTTTTCTTTGCTGATATCACAGCCTGGTGGAGGATTTATTTCTAACATCTACATATAAAAATATATACTCCAATTATTTATTCATCCTTTAAAAACATCCTCTGAAGCATTCACTCGTTCCCTCTCATGTTCCTGCAGCTCTTTGTTCCACAGGTGCCTCATCACAGCCACAATAAAACCTTTGAGCAGAGAAGCTTTGCTTGGCAGAGCTTTTTGTGCTAAACTTAAATAAATGAAAGTGGAGCGACCGCAGCTGATTCATGTATAATTATTATTATATACATGTTGTATATTGTATATTATGATTACAATGACAAGGTTTATTCAGGATGTTACAACCGCTGCAACACTCAGTGATGAGTTAAGCTCATTTCTGTGAAAATAAACTTTATTAGGGAAATTTAATTTTCTGAAAATGGAGGGTAGAGGCTGAAGAACTGCGGAAATTTGCCAAAGAAGCTGAAACGACATTGTTGAAGCTAAAAATACTAAAAGCTAAAAGAAACAGGATAGTCGCTAAAGACTAAATTAAGCAAAATGCTACCTAAACAAAAAGAGCAAAGCACTTGCTAAAAGTAGCAGAAGAATTTTTAAAGCTAAAAGTTGCTAAATGCTGAAGAAGCGATAGACTAGTTAAAAGTAGCAAAACAGTAGCTAGGAGCTAAAAGTCACGAAAAGCTTAAAAAAATAGCAAAGTAGCAAGGGCTAGCTTAAAGCTAAAGTAGCAAAGGATAGCTGAAAGCTAATGGAGCTGAAATGGCAGCTAAATGATATAAGTTCAAAGCAGGAAAAGTAACAAAACAGTATCTGAAAGCTAAAAGCAACAAAAGGTTTACTACAATTTAGAAGTAGGAAAAGGCAGGCTAAAAGTAGAAAACTAGCTAAAAGTGCTCGAATGTTACCTAAAACCTGAAAATATCAAGGGGCTTATAAGCTTAAATTTGAAGAGCAGTAGCTAAAAGTAGCAGAACAGGAGCTGAAAACTAAAAGTAGCAAAGGGCTGGCTGGAAGTATAAGTAGCAGAAAGCTAGCTAAAAGAAAAGAATAGCAGAAAATTAAACAAAAGTAGTAGAACAGTATAAGCTAAAAGTAGAACAGAAGCTAAATAGAACAAAAGGTTAGCTTCAAGGTTGAAGCAGCAAAAGGTTGTCTAAAAGGAGCAGAAAGCCAGCTGAAACTAAATATAGCAGAAGAAAAGCTAAAAGTAGCTCAAAGCTAAAGATTTTTCTTCTTCTTTCGGCTGTTGGGATGCCACAGTGAACTAACTCACACGAAGACTTGGCAATTGTTTTTACGCCGGATGACCTTCCTGACACAACCACAGACCACCGAGCTACCACAGCCCTCTGTGTGGAGCAGGGAGCTGCTATCTAGGGCACCCAGGGGAGCAGATGGTGGGGGTTAATGGCCCAGAGTGGTGCAAATGAGAGTGGAGGCAGGTGTGGGTGCTTCACCTTTCCCACACCCATTTTGATGTCGGTCCCAGGGGTCGGACCGGCGACCTTCCGATCACAGGCGACCTTCTCTAACCTCTGCGCCACCACTCCCCCATAAAGCTAAAGGTAATGTCAAAGACTGAATTAGAACAGGTGTTCCAAAGTGTTTTTCAGAGAGCAATTAATTTTTATGGGAAAAATGTAAATGAAGTTAAATATTTTGAAAACGATAGGAGTTACATAAACCAAAAGTCAAAGTATTAATTTCCTGAATGAGCTGAACATTTTGATATATGAACAGGTAAAATAGAAATAATGTTGCACAAAACGTAAAGAAAAACAGTGTGATGCTCAATCAGTTCTGGTTTAATGTAAAAAAATCTAAACCTTTGTGTGGACTCTGTACGTTTAATAATACAGTATTACTGTGTTTAATATCAGTATTTCCTAAAGGTGTTTTCAAATGAATCGGCGTGTACTTGTACACACGATCAGTATTTTCTTGTCTTTTATGTACGCACTAAGCTTCGGTTGTTTAAATCCTTCCTAACCGTCTTCTCTGTAACGCTGACATTAATCTGTTTACCTGCCGAAGCTGCTGTTCATGCTTCGCCCTTCTGGACCAGTTTGGGGGGCTGATTTGGGGTCAGATTAACCACAAAGTGAGATTAGGGCCACACCTGCTCCTACACCTGGACCCAGCAGGTTAACGGTGAGGCGGCTGACCCGTCAACACCAGATCCAGACACACACCAGCATCTGCTCGGAGAGTTCTTTAATTGTTTCGTTGTTTTACTTCACGAAAAAGGCCCAAAAGTTCACTTTGTCCTGTTCTGCCTCATATTTGTTGAACTTTGTTCATTCGAGCTGAAAATCATTAAAAGAAAAAAGACTGACGGGAGCGCCAGAAAACAGAACAGGAGAAAAATAAGAAGTTTGTTGTTTTATAAAGTCACTCATTTAAGAAATTCAGCCTAATTATTCAGAATAATGTGTTCTCAGACTGAGTCAATTTGATTTTTGTGTTGATTTTTTTTAACAGTAAATAGTTTGGTTGCAGACAATAACTCATCAAAAGTTGGTTCATTAGTTTTTTTTATTTAGCAACCAAATTTAAATAAAGTAAAACCAAAACTTCATTTATATATTTGTAATCAAACGTCCGAATTTGTCTAAAATCAAATGTAGTAATAGAGAAAACAATATATATATATATATATATTTATTTATTTATTTTTTTTTGGCAAGATTTAAACATTTTCAGAGTTTATTTTGAGAAATGGCTGCTTAGGTAATACTTTGTCAATTTGTTTATTTATTTTACAGAGGTTTTTTAAAAAAAAATCTGCAGCTTACAATTATAAAACCATTATTAGAGAAGCCAGCTTTTACTTCAAACAGATATTAAAAAATAATAATAATTCTTACCTCGTTTAGTGTCGATCTTTGTCCTGGACTCAGAAAACAAAAAATAATCAGAGCGGAACAAAACGATTCAAGTCCTCAGACATCAGAGTCTGTTGGGTCCTGAGTGTTTCGATGAAGAGGAGAACTGGTCCTTCCTCTCCTCTCTGAGTGTTCCTCCTCCTCCTCCCAGGAGGCTTGCCTCTACTTGTTGCAGGAGGTTCAGGGCACCATCTCCAAGGGGACCCATTGGATCACGGCCCCTGATGAAGCGCTTATGTAGCTTTTTGCGATTCGCCGTTGCCATAGCGATGCTCCTAAGCCTATTTGTCAGCTTTGAGCAGCTGAAAGGGGAGCAGGAGAGCGATGGAGATGCGGATCGGGAGAACGGAGAAGGCCGAGCTGCGAGGCGGACAGAGGGAAATGAGGCGTGAGGTCACCCTACCCACAGATTTACAGGATACGTGTTACCTAATAGTTTTTATTTATTTATTTTTTGCTTGTGTGTGATGCAGGTAATCGAATCCAGAGTCGATGTGTGGGTGGATATAAAGGCTTGTTGGTTTGTTCAGCGTGTAGGTGGGAGGAACTAACCTTGGTTTTCTTTCTGCACAAATTCACAATAACCTGAAATCCTCCTCACATGCAGCCTCCTCCTCTGTCTCCGTGCTGCACTGTGAATAAAAGACCAGGCGAACTGTCACAGCCACAGCAGTGAAGCAGAAAACAATTCAATTCAGTTTATTTATATAATGCCAAGTCACAACAGAAGTCCTCTCAGGGAGAGCATTGAACAGAAACATTCATATATATATACATATATAAAAACAAGTTTATAACATTATTTATCTGAGGAGCAGATGCTTTGAGTAAGTTCATTGCAGACTCTCATCATGAGCAAGCATAAAGGCGATAGTGGAAAGGAAAAACTCCCTCATGAGGAAGAAACCTCCAACAGAACCAGGCTCAGGGCAAGCGGCCATCTGCTTCCACTGGCTGGGTTTGAGAGGAACAGGAAGGAGGAACAGATACACAATGGCAGGTTGAGAATCACATTTTAATGAAGAAATTATATCAAATGAAAACTATTTAATTTTAACAATTCATTTTAAGAAATGAGGTCAATTTGTTACCTATAGCAGCATAACAAGCCAACCCTAACTATAGGATTTATCAATAAGTCTTAAAACTGGACAATGTGTCAGCCTCACGGACAGAAACTGGAAGTTTGGTTCCACAAGAGAGGAGCCTGATAACCGAAAGATCTTCCTCCCATTCTGCTTTTGGAAACTCTAGGAACCGCAAGTAATCCTGCAGTCTGAGAGCGAAGTGCTCTGTTAGGCAAACATGGAACAATATGATCTTTAATATAAGATGGAGCTAGGTTGTTGAGGGCTTTGTAGGTTAGAAGTAAGATTTTGAATTCTGTTCTGAATTTGACAGAAAACCCAGAAATATCTCTGGCACACATCGATTCCTTCAAATCAAATGCAACACTTGGTTTAATGCCTCTCTGCACATCGAGACGGTTTTATGATTGTTAGAAAGCAGCGTCTTCATCAAAAAGTAAAGTTCGCAGACTCAAATCTGTTCAGACACTTTAAAATCCTGCTGTCCTCGCCTGTCGACAAAGGCAAAACAGGCAGTAGTGTTTGTGCCTGTTTGATTTTCTCTTGAGTTAGCAAAATATCTCGTGGCCAATAGATGAACTTTAACAAAACTCTTTACAAGTAATCATTACACTGACAACTGATCGACGTTCAAGATGGCCACCACTTCAAACCAAACAAAGCTCCAGATACTGAGCTACAATGTGCAGCGTCAGTACCTGAGAGTCACAACGCCTGATCAAAACCTGGGCTTAAACTTTGCCGTTCTCTAGTGAGGTGTGTGTTAGCAAAATATCGAGCCACTTGACACATTTTACCTTCAGAATATCATTTGGAATATGTCTGCAAGCATTTAACTTTTGATGTCAGTGCATTTCAAAACAATCGTAGCTAAATATTGTCTGAATGTTTATGAAGCATTCACACGATTGAGCCATTTTTCTTCCGTACGTTTTTCTGCATCTTTCTCGTTCCACAATTTTACAGTATTTCAACAAATATATCAAAACATTCAGCTCGTTCATGGTGCTATGACTTTTGGTACTGGTGCAAATTTAGCTTGTTGAAATATTTAGCCTTTTCTGCCACTTTTTTCCTCATATAAAATGATATTGATATGATGATTTTTCAGCTACTATTTAGCTGTTTTATGCTCATTCCGCTAATTCCACATTTTTTGCACTCATTTCAACTTTTTTCAGCCTACCGGTAATTCAGAAAAAATGTGCTCTATCTACTCCCTTCTGGTAATTTAATCTTCTTTCTGGGATTTGTTTAGCTACTATTCAGCTGTTTTTTTTGTTTTGTTTTTACACATTTCAGCTTTTTTCATATAATTTCCACATTTATGTGCTAATTTCTGCTTCATTAAGCCTAATTGGGCACAATTGCGCTCTCTCTCAACTTCCTTCTGGTAATTTAAGCTTCTTTATGCATTTTCAGATATACTTTTCAGCCATTTTGCTAATTTCAGCCATTTTTTAGCTAATTTATTCATTTCTGTGCTCATTTCTACTTATTTAAACCAAATTCAGCAAATATGTGTTCTTTCTGCTTTCTTCTGATAAGTTAGGCCATTTCAGCATGTTTTTAGCTGATTTCAGCTTTTTTTTCAGCAAGTTCTTCAACAATAAGCATTCACACTGCACTTTTGCAGGAAATTCCGTTTCTCTAGTTAAACATTAAAATGACTATAACTCCATTTTACAAATATTTTGCTCATTTTGGTGCGGTATGTTCACATGTGGAACAAAGCATCAGGTCAGTCCTGTGAGAGAGACAAGGTCAGTGTCGTGTTTGTGATCAGTCTAGAAGTAAATATGGAAAACAAAACGAAGGCGGAGGATCTGCCACAGCTTGAAGGCGACAGATGGGCAGGTAAGCTCTAATCCAAACACGACAGCCTTAATCCTCTAAAGTGATTCCATCCATGTTCCCCTCACGGCGAGGGCGTCGGCGAGGCCCTGACAGCTCTGGCATGTTTGGTAAGTGATGTGACGCACGTCGGACCCCTCCTTACATCATCGTGTGCTCATTACCCCCACCACCCACACGCACACACACACACACCAGTCAGGAGAGTGGATTATCAGCTGCCCTGAAGCTTTCTGTGTTTTGTTTTGTTTTGTGCTCTGGACGAGTACTAAAACTGATTCCTGAAAGCTTTTGTTTCCCTGCAGGTGCAAACATGCAAAGAAAGGGAATATTTGTCATATTTCAAGCTGATCTTGATGTCCTGACGTAAGAAGTGGATCAGCAGCACATCATATTTTCTATGCACCCAAACAGTAAAAGTCAGAAGTTGCTCGTCAACAAAGGTTTTCTTTTTTTTTTTCACCTTCAAACAGAACCAACATGTTAAAATAAATCAGCTAGCTGAGTTTAGCCTTCAACTTACAGGGTATTCAAAATAACTGTAGTTAAAGTAAGAGGTTCTCTGAAATGGTTATAAAGAAATAGTATCTCACCTGTTGTAGATGGCTCTTTGAACTGTCTCATTTTGGAGAGAAAGCTATTAGCTCTGACCAGACTGAAGAGCTAACCAGTAGTCTGAGCTGAGTGTCTTCGTTTTCAAACTGGACGTCTTTTACGGCCGTTTGTGTAAACAGTTTTTCAACTGTTCTCAATTTGTCACAACATTATTATTCCTGCGAAAGTGAACCCAGGTGGAACAAGATTAACTGCTGCTACCGCTAGTCATAGCTAGCTTATAAAACCATTTTAATTATAAGAATTATATTAACCATGTAATACAAAACTTAAGATGATTTGCAGTTTTATAAACCAATATTTATATGAATTGCTATGAGATTCTTCAGATTAAAATTTGTTTTTAGACGACAGCGTCCAATAATCTTGGCTCATTTCGGATTAGCCATAAAATTACCAGTCTGATCATTTCTTTCAAAGAGCTATCTACAACAGGTAAGATGTTTTTTTATGGCTTTTTTCAGAATCCCACTTACAAAGATAAGAACTGTCACTTTAAAAATTATTTTTTCCGACTTTACCAGATAAAAATCAGAAAGTGCGCCACAATAAGATAAATTTAAATAAAGTAGTGAGCATTTTAATGTTGTGGTGAATGATAAATGACCTTTAAGTTTGATCATTAAAATTATAAAATAAAAAAAGTTAAAATAAGTTCAAGGCAACACAATTTTACATATAAATATCAGCACTCAACATTAGCTGGGTGTAAAATAGTCAAAAAGTTCTTGTTAAAGAATATAATTTTTGTCACAACATGTTTTGATAGCTCTTTAAATGACCTCAGTTTAGATAAATAAACTTTAATTCTGACCAGACTAACAAGCTAACAGCTAGCCTGAGTACAGGACTAAGGTATTGTTGCCAGTTTTTAAACAACTCCAATCTAGAAAAAAAAAAAAAATCCTTTATAGTCGTTCAGCTTTTCAGGAGCTTTTACATATAAATGTCTCATTACACCGTTAATCTGGGAGGAACCTGATGGTTGCTGCACTGGAAGAGCTACAGCTAGCTGCTGCTGCTAACTTGTGCTTACCTAAAACCACAAAAATCTATGTAAATAACAAAAAAATGTAAACGACTAAATAACTGTGTAATTATCTGAATAACTGTGAATGCCTGTGTAAATAACTAAACTGAGTACGTGTGTAAATAAATGCATACACCAGTACCTGTAAATAAATTGTAAAAAGTCTAAATAACTGTAAAACAAGTAAACGTAAAGAACTGTATAAATGATTAACTCTGAACCATCACTTAAAAAGATCTTTTTAACAACAAAAAATGTCCTCAAATGTCTAAAAAAGCAGAAAAAATATATTTTTTATGTTTAAAAAAAAAGCTTCATAAATTCTCGACTGCCAATGGGGTCCATGAAGCGAACGTGAGTAAAACAGTAAATGTGAAAACATTTAGTCAGCTGTAAGTTATCAGTTTCTACAGAGCACATCTTATCATCATGATGTCTGAGCCTCGTATCGCCTCCTTTCCCTGCAGCTCCATGTCACTTTGATTATTTAGAAGTTTGTTTTAGTTTGACCAAATCTGTTATTAAAACCTAAACAGAAAAACAAATTTCTTATCAACAAAACATGTAAGAAATAACATGCGTCAGGTTTATTGTGTATGGTCGCAGTATTACC